CAAATCAGGTTTAAACCACATTTTTTGGAATGCATCTTCTGAAGCATCTGTGACATACAAATTGCACAGAGTTCTACATGGGTAATATATCAACCATGCTGTCTAGGTGGAAAAGCAGTGATTTCATGGACGGCCAGACAGGAGGGTTGATCTATGCATGAGAATGGTCCTTGGTTGGACCTGATCCAGCCTTGGGTCATGCTAACTGGTCCTGACCTCTCACCTTTTAGCCAAGGGGGTTAATGATAGTGGACCTGTAACTGGAGCTGTTACATCCGAGTCAGTTCTCAGCAGGGTGTAAGACTGAACACACACACACAAACACACACACACACACACACGCTTGCACACAGTCACACATATATTCCAGTGCAAAGGTTGAGGGCAGAACGTGAAGTCTCGTGTCTCTCTGATCTAGAGGGGAAACCCACATCTGAGCCTGGTTTTTCACTGGATAACTCTGAAGCCAAATCTGCCTGGGGACCTGACATTATGCCCGAGCCACTTAAACTCACAAAAACAGAGAGGAGGAGAGAGTGGAGGGTGGTAAAGACAAAGGGAGGGAGTAAGGGAGGTGACAAAGTAATAAATAGCATGGGTCTGAATGGCCCCAACCTGATCATTCACTTCCACATCTTTTTTTTTTTTTTTTCAGAAAAATAATTTGCTCTCCAAGGACTTGTTCATGAGTGGTATTTCCTTTAGGATAGACTTGGTGGGAGAGGGGTCTGTAGGTCTAAATTTGACTTTGTGATTGGCTGTGTTCAAAGTTAACCCACAGTAAAATCTAAATTTGGTTCTAGGCGTAACATGTACCGTCCTCACCTTTTTTGTATGCGAGCCACACAGCATTTACTGCATGTTTTATATTGTAGTATTTCACAGTATATGTCAATGTAGGATTACATATAGTGAAAGGATGACAGGAATGGGTTCCCTCATAAGCATGCCTAAAATAGTCTAAAAATATCAGAGACAAAATACACCATGACCTGAAGGATAAACTGTTCATTCAAAGAAAGGTTTTCCTATGAATTAATTAGTAGAAAAGTCAATTTCTACTGTGCATTTGTGCCTCTTGCTTCTGGAAAATGCAGCGAGAGTCTCTGCTCACATTCCTTTAGATCGTAAATGTTTCTGGTGTCAGCATTGCTATGGAACCAGGGGCCTGTTCAGCTTCCTGGGGTGTTACAGAGTATTTGTTAAATCTAGCTAACAAAATATATATTGTGTGTTTGAGTGGTCCAAATGCTACATTTACTAACTTGAGTTTTTGATGAATATTAATTTAATTCATTCAGCAATATTGGAGCATAACTTGGCAGACATTCACCACTACAGAAATATATCCATATACAAGAAAATAAGTTTGTAGAATTATTATATTAACGGTTTTGGCATGCTGATTTAAGTCTGTATTCTCAGATATCATGAGTCACGCTGAAATTATTTGAAGCAGTTTAGTATGTTATGGATAAGTGTGCTTTGCATGTAATCAGTGTTCCTTCAAATTTTTGTTCCTGCTGAGCAAAACCTATTTCTATTGGGCAAATCCGTCGGCAGCCTTAGAAGAAACTTAAATTATAACAGACCTCTTCAGTGTTAACTGTGGCATTCTTTACAAAGAAATTCTGTATATCTAATCTAAAGCAGTTCATTTTGTTGTGCTTTATTACATTGGACTTTTATGCAGTAACTAAAGCATAAATAAGAATGAATGACTGAATAAATAAAATTGCTTCAGTTGCATTTAGAACAGCATATTTAATATGCAATATTTATTTAATTATTTATTAAATAGCTATAATTGGTATTATATGTTGTTCTAAATGCAGTAACTAAAGCAGAAATGTATTTATTTATTTATTTATTTATACCATATTTATTATTTACATTATAATAGATAAATAATTGGTATTAATGCTGTTCTAAATTCAATAACTACAGCTAAATGCAAATGAATAAATAAACAAATATGCTGTTTAAATGCAGTAATAAAAGCAGAAATTGTATTATTTATTTAATGCATATTATTTATTGATATAAATACAAACAAACAAATATTTAGTATTAATATGCCAAAAAGTGCAGTGACTAAAATGAGTGAACTTATTTATTCATTCATTTATTTATTAAATATGTATTATGAAATAAATAAATATGCTGTTCTTAGAAGGGGTGGGAAAGTGCAACCTTGGTGTCCACTCTGGAATTAAGGAAATAGTTTGTCATGAAGGCAGAGTGCAATCACAGAGCGAAACTCTGCAATCAACACCCCTGACTACATGTCAACAAAACAAAGCCTACAAAAACACGGTTGAGTTTCTGCAGAGAGGAAAGCTGCCATAATAGCTGCTTTCAGCTTTGTGGCAGTCGTTCAAGCCAAACAAAAACATCCCCAGCAAAGTGTGCTCAGTTAAAATGGGATAATTGCTCATTCTCACCCTTCTATCTGATCTCAGACCTGAGTTCTTGTTCAAGTGGAGCATGATGTAAATCAGGTTCAGTGTGATGGTAGTGACATACTTGTCTTCCTTACGCTTAGTAAATATGACAGGTCAAACCTGATGTGGATACAGCAGTCTGTTGGTTTATGCACACAGCATAAGAATGCATAAGCTGTGCAGTCAGAAGACCCTAAGGCTAAAATAGGCATAAATACATAGTGCATGTGTGAGTGCAGATAAAACAGCTGCACTCATATTGGTGCACTATATTAAATTTGAAAAGACAGGTTGATTTGGTGTGGATGTTGCTTTAGCATGCTGGCCAATTTTGTTGACTGTCATACTGAAATGGAATAATAGATTTGCGTTCAGCTCCACTGTAGCGGTTGGGGAGTGAAACAGGTAAAATTAATCTTTGCTAAAGCAGAAACACTAGGAGGAATGTGTCGGTTGCTTCATGGAAGTGTCCCACGTCACCTTTTACTTGCCGCAGTCTGTGACAGAAAAGCTTTATACTGCATACTGTAATAGCACATTATCTTGTGGGTCAGCTTACTTTGACTACTAATACCTAAGCATTATGGACTCACCTCTTTCCAGTTGTGTAATTTCATATGTTCCCTCTCAAACATATAAATGCTCAAATGAAGCATGAGCTTCCTCAGCTTCAGTGGGAGGTTGCATAAGAATATGCTATAATGATATAAAGGGTAATTTCTTTCACCACTAGTACTTTCTCTCTCTACACCTCCTTCCCAAGTCTGTTCTGTATGTCCTTTGAGGCATATAAACATAGCTGAAATGCTTTGAGAGCAGTTATGTGGCTTGACCATGACAGAGCACCATTGCAAAAACACTGATTGCTGTCAGAGCGTGCAACTTTGGCTGTATTTCGTTTGGTGCTTGTGAAGCAGCATTTTGCAGCATGGAGTTTTTTCTTCTGTGACTGTATTTGTATGGTGTGAATGGATTTTTTTGTTTGTTTTTCAGATATGTGGCTTGATTGTTCAAGTGTCAATGATAAATAAGGGTGTCCAAGATAAAGAAAATATTCAACAACAAAAAAAAACGTTTATACCATTTTCTGAAGATGTTTACATTTATTGATTTTAAAAGTTTAAATGTAGGCTAATGGTACATTGCTTACTCTTTGTATTAAAAAAAAAACAATTTAAGTATATTTTTGAAGGTAACAATATAATTATTTACCAAAATTATTATTATTATTATTGCATGTTGTGCCATATGACATCTTATAACAGTTCAGTTCTTTCTTTTTTCATTATGATATAAAAACTGTTTTATCATTCAGATATGTTTAACTTTATGCCCCCAACAAAATCTAAATTAATTTTAATTAAAAAAAATATATACAATTATTCATCAGAAAAAAAGCATAATCATTGCAAGTATGAAATGCAGTTTTTAATATATTTTTGAAAACATTTAATAGGTCCAGACAAAGTGAGTGTCATATCATTGTCCCCCAATGATTTTGCACAGAATGCATCTAATCTGCTCGAGTCCAGTGAAGCAAATTATATATCCAACCTCATTTAGCCAATCTCCTAATATTCTAATAAAAACATTTATCCATCTGAATAAAACTGCTTCAGAATAACTATCTAAATCCAACACCTGCAGAAATGTGCTCTCAGTGTTATTCTAACCAATATAAATGCTGACTTGAATCTCAAGTATGATAAGTGAGGTAAACCCCATATCTCTCATAGGGAATACATTGTGTGAAATCATATATGTGCGCTGAATCCGCAGTGACATATTAAAAAAAAAAGCCTCTGTGCTGTGAAAGAAGTTTTTTTTAAATGTGGTTTTTCCGACAAAACCAGACCAGTATGGTACCTTTCCAGTGAAAACTAAATATAGTTTTTTATTTACCGTAACTGAGCAGTTTCCCAAGAGAAATGTCTGGAAAAGGCAACAGCAAACCACACTACAAAAATACCATTGACGCCATGAATGTGACAACAACTTAAAGTTAAAATCATTCTGGTTAAAAAAAATATAACATTTTGTCTATTTTTCAAGGTTCTGTGCATAAATGTATAGCAACAACATGCTAACAAAGTTTATATGGCTGTTTATAAACTCCTTCTACATAACTTCGATTCTTCATAATATGGCCACGATTAGCTTAATCATTAGAAAACACAAACACTTGTGACAGGAATTCACTTTCTCTCTTCAGCCAAGTTCTTAGGCCATTTTGTACACTCCAAAACAAAGGAAGAAATATACTGTAGTAGAGTTGAATTAGCCACCGAATGTAATGTTTTCATCAAGTTGTAAAGAAAAACATCTGTTTAGGCCTTTGGGGGTAGCATAAGGAATGCTGGGTAGAAAGCTTGTATTGCTAAACGGTTTATCATGGCTGATAAATGTGCATGCTGGACATTGTTCTTTACTTGTGTAACGCTCTGGGAATCAGCCAGGCATTCCATAGCATTGACAAAAAAGATTTCCTCACAAATGTAAAAATAAGTCAACATAAAATAAGGACTTCTTTATTTCTCTTCTTCTCTCCATCTGCAGACATTGATCAAGACTTCTGCGGTTCCGACAAAGAGCTGGACGAGGAGACTTGTCAGTGTGTTTGCCGAAAAGAGCTACGAACAGCAGGTTGTGGCCCGCACCGCTACCTGGACAAGAACACCTGTCAGTGTGTGTGTAAAGCAAAGCCCTCTTCCTGCAGGCCTCAACAGAGCTTCAACAAAGACCCCTGCCAGTGCACCTGCGCCAAGGGGTGCTTGTGAAGCAGCATTTTGCAGCATGGAGTTTTTTCTTCTGTGACTGTATTTGTATGGTGTGAATGGATTTTTTTGTTTGTTTTTCAGATATGTGGCTTGATTGTTCAAGTGTCAATGATAAATAAGGGTGTCCAAGATAAAGAAAATATTCAACAACAAAAAAAAACGTTTATACCATTTTCTGAAGATGTTTACATTTATTGATTTTAAAAGTTTAAATGTAGGCTAATGGTACATTGCTTACTCTTTGTATTAAAAAAAAAACAATTTAAGTATATTTTTGAAGGTAACAATATAATTATTTACCAAAATTATTATTATTATTATTGCATGTTGTGCCATATGACATCTTATAACAGTTCAGTTCTTTCTTTTTTCATTATGATATAAAAACTGTTTTATCATTCAGATATGTTTAACTTTATGCCCCCAACAAAATCTAAATTAATTTTAATTAAAAAAAATATATACAATTATTCATCAGAAAAAAAGCATAATCATTGCAAGTATGAAATGCAGTTTTTAATATATTTTTGAAAACATTTAATAGGTCCAGACAAAGTGAGTGTCATATCATTGTCCCCCAATGATTTTGCACAGAATGCATCTAATCTGCTCGAGTCCAGTGAAGCAAATTATATATCCAACCTCATTTAGCCAATCTCCTAATATTCTAATAAAAACATTTATCCATCTGAATAAAACTGCTTCAGAATAACTATCTAAATCCAACACCTGCAGAAATGTGCTCTCAGTGTTATTCTAACCAATATAAATGCTGACTTGAATCTCAAGTATGATAAGTGAGGTAAACCCCATATCTCTCATAGGGAATACATTGTGTGAAATCATATATGTGCGCTGAATCCGCAGTGACATATTAAAAAAAAAAGCCTCTGTGCTGTGAAAGAAGTTTTTTTTAAATGTGGTTTTTCCGACAAAACCAGACCAGTATGGTACCTTTCCAGTGAAAACTAAATATAGTTTTTTATTTACCGTAACTGAGCAGTTTCCCAAGAGAAATGTCTGGAAAAGGCAACAGCAAACCACACTACAAAAATACCATTGACGCCATGAATGTGACAACAACTTAAAGTTAAAATCATTCTGGTTAAAAAAAATATAACATTTTGTCTATTTTTCAAGGTTCTGTGCATAAATGTATAGCAACAACATGCTAACAAAGTTTATATGGCTGTTTATAAACTCCTTCTACATAACTTCGATTCTTCATAATATGGCCACGATTAGCTTAATCATTAGAAAACACAAACACTTGTGACAGGAATTCACTTTCTCTCTTCAGCCAAGTTCTTAGGCCATTTTGTACACTCCAAAACAAAGGAAGAAATATACTGTAGTAGAGTTGAATTAGCCACCGAATGTAATGTTTTCATCAAGTTGTAAAGAAAAACATCTGTTTAGGCCTTTGGGGGTAGCATAAGGAATGCTGGGTAGAAAGCTTGTATTGCTAAACGGTTTATCATGGCTGATAAATGTGCATGCTGGACATTGTTCTTTACTTGTGTAACGCTCTGGGAATCAGCCAGGCATTCCATAGCATTGACAAAAAAGATTTCCTCACAAATGTAAAAATAAGTCAACATAAAATAAGGACTTCTTTATTTCTCTTCTTCTCTCCATCTGCAGACATTGATCAAGACTTCTGCGGCTCCGACAAAGAGCTGGACGAGGAGACTTGTCAGTGTGTTTGCCGAAAAGAGCTACGAACAGCAGGTTGTGGCCCGCACCGCTACCTGGACAAGAACACCTGTCAGTGTGTGTGTAAAGCAAAGCCCTCTTCCTGCAGGCCTCAACAGAGCTTCAACAAAGACACCTGCCAGTGCACCTGCGCCAAGGTGTGTCCCAGTAGTCAGCCTCTCAACCGCACCAAATGTGTGTGTGAATGCACAGAGTCCCCTAACAAGTGCTTCCTAAAAGGAAGGCGGTTCCACCCAGCCACGTGCAGGTGAGAAAAGAGTTTGCTGTTATTTGTCAGATGTAAAATTATTATCCTTTCAGATACTGAGAGAGTGTCATGCCATTCTGCCAATGGAGGGACAAAATGTCCCAAACTGACACCATTGGTTGAGTCCATGTTGCTGTGTTGCTGGTTCTGCCTCACTTTACTATATAAATGATGTTGACAAGGCAGCCATTACAATTCCTTTTAATTTTAGTTATCATTTTTATATTTTTATTTAATTTAAATGTAATTTACTCAAATCATTTCCCATTCTTATTTGATTATATCTCCAAAAATGCACGCACTGTTATATATGGAATATACAGAAAGCAGGGAGGGAAAATAAATGCTTGGTTTTCTAAACAGTATTGGTTTAAACCTTAGCTAAATGTTTCATATGACATGGCATTTCATGCTCTTTCCCTCTCTGACCTGTGTAACTGATTTAAAAAAAAAACTAAATTTCTATTAGTTTCAGTTTCTCAACCCCAAGGCCCTGTACCATTACCTCATTTTAAGGTGATTTATGCTTTATGTAGCAGCATAGGACAGCAGGAGTCGAGTGCCTATGGTAGAGCCTAAAGTCTACAACACTTTACAATAAGGTTTAATTTATTAGCATTATTTAATGTATTTGCTAACATGAACTAACAATAAGCAATGTATTTTTTACAGCATTTATTCATTCTGTGTTTATGTAAAACAATAAATATACAGCTGTTTATTGTTCATGTTAGTTTAGTGTTATAAGTAATATTACAGATGCAAAATTTGATTTTAAAAATGTATTATTAATTGTTGAAATTAACATTAAGGTTATTAAATGCTGTAGAAGTATTGTTCATTGTTAGTTCACGTAACTAATATATATATATATATATATATATATATATATATATATATATATGAAGATTCCTTATTTTCAAATATTACAATTTGTGGAAATGTGTTTAGAAATGTTTATTTTTCCCATATTGTCTCACAATACAGTTTATATTAATTCACAGCCTCTGTTGTCAAAGTGTCAGAGAATTACAGTATATTTCTATCAGTTCCATCCTTTTATTATTTTTCAAATATATTCTCTTATTATTTTTTCACATTGATCAACTTTATATAAGTAATACTGTGAATGGTGTTGACTTTTAGTATTTTAATAGTTCTTTACAAAATGCTGCACTTAAATGCTGCAGTGATGATATCAGATAGTAATACCTATTATTTCCCCTCTCTTTTTCTTAGTTGTGTCAGGCCGCCATGTAACATGGACCCCAAGAAAAGAGGATGTAACGATAATGAGTATTTCAGTGAAGAACTGTGTCGCTGTATACCCAAATACTGGGGGAGACTGAACTAAACACAACTAAGCGCCGGTGGTGCTGAATGCTAACGGACACGCTGGCATTTAGAGCAGTGCTGTTTGGCTGCTGCTTATCTGACTCACATGTGCTAGTCATGTGGACTAGCGTAGAGTAACGGGAGACAAGAAATGTCCGCATTTAACCGCACATATCAAACATGGGGTGAGCTATCAAGGACCGAGAGAGATTTCTAAAGGCTGGAGCCATGTCTTTTCATTGTTTTAATTGAATTGTCTATTCGTATTTGTCAGATAATGATTATATAATTTATTGCCATGAAATGTTTTGAAACACCCTGGTTCATAGCATTCATTTTGAATCTCTGCGAAGAAAAATACACTGTGATCAATATTTTTGTATCATGTTAAGTCCCGTAAAATAAAGTATAAAGTTGTATTATATATTGTTAACTTATTTATAAGCTGGACTATCTTATTGAAATAATACTGCACATGATTCAAATGTATTCAGTTTTGACTACCAAATGTATGCACCTATCATTCCAGATGAAATTCTATCAAACTGACAGTGCAAGCCGGCAAAGACATGTTTTTTGTGCTGGAAGCATTGCTTGTTGACAATCTAAGACCATTACGCAAGTCACCCAACAATATAGAAGACTTTGAACACGGAAATACAGCACAATAACCTGGATATGGACTATTTAAAAACCGGTGCATATATATATATATATATATATATATATATATATATATATATATATATATGAAGATTCCTTATTTTCAAATATTACAATTTGTGGAAATGTGTTTAGAAATGTTTATTTTTCCCATATTGTCTCACAATACAGTTTATATTAATTCACAGCCTCTGTTGTCAAAGTGTCAGAGAATTACAGTATATTTCTATCAGTTCCATCCTTTTATTATTTTTCAAATATATTCTCTTATTATTTTTTCACATTGATCAACTTTATATAAGTAATACTGTGAATGGTGTTGACTTTTAGTATTTTAATAGTTCTTTACAAAATGCTGCACTTAAATGCTGCAGTGATGATATCAGATAGTAATACCTATTATTTCCCCTCTCTTTTTCTTAGTTGTGTCAGGCCGCCATGTAACATGGACCCCAAGAAAAGAGGATGTAACGATAATGAGTATTTCAGTGAAGAACTGTGTCGCTGTATACCCAAATACTGGGGGAGACTGAACTAAACACAACTAAGCGCCGGTGGTGCTGAATGCTAACGGACACGCTGGCATTTAGAGCAGTGCTGTTTGGCTGCTGCTTATCTGACTCACATGTGCTAGTCATGTGGACTAGCGTAGAGTAACGGGAGACAAGAAATGTCCGCATTTAACCGCACATATCAAACATGGGGTGAGCTATCAAGGACCGAGAGAGATTTCTAAAGGCTGGAGCCATGTCTTTTCATTGTTTTAATTGAATTGTCTATTCGTATTTGTCAGATAATGATTATATAATTTATTGCCATGAAATGTTTTGAAACACCCTGGTTCATAGCATTCATTTTGAATCTCTGCGAAGAAAAATACACTGTGATCAATATTTTTGTATCATGTTAAGTCCCGTAAAATAAAGTATAAAGTTGTATTATATATTGTTAACTTATTTATAAGCTGGACTATCTTATTGAAATAATACTGCACATGATTCAAATGTATTCAGTTTTGACTACCAAATGTATGCACCTATCATTCCAGATGAAATTCTATCAAACTGACAGTGCAAGCCGGCAAAGACATGTTTTTTGTGCTGGAAGCATTGCTTGTTGACAATCTAAGACCATTACGCAAGTCACCCAACAATATAGAAGACTTTGAACACGGAAATACAGCACAATAACCTGGATATGGACTATTTAAAAACCGGTGCTACATGTATGCAGTTCGATACAAGTTACATCGGTGACTATGTACACTTGGATGAATGGATTCCACTTACGTCGCATCCAACCTGCCTCCTTAAAAGCAGTATAAAGTGGTGTATGAATGACCTCAAGGTTGGAGATCAGTGGTCTTTAAGACTTTTGACCTCAGTGGATGTGTACATAGGAGCAATGTGATTGGCCCAACTCCACTTGGTATCCGCCCACTGTTTCAGCTTGACACTGTAAATATAATAAATCACCTCTGCTTCCATCCCAGTCCTTGTGTCTGTGTCTGCCAAAAGTGTGCGTGTGATTTTTCACTGTTACTCATTCCATAGAACCCCCCTGTAGCTCCATAATGAAACCATAATCTTCAGCCATCGGGTGGGAAGGATCAAAAACAAGCTGTGGAGCTAAATCCAGCACATCTTCAAGCATTCAAGTCTTCAAGCTTCAAGTCTTCAAGCATATTCATATAGCAGGTGGCCTCCTTCCCTTGTATTTTAACCTAAGCCATATATATATATATATATATGCACTCATGTCACCTCTTCTCCTTTTCTGCAAGGCTTTTTAGAGCTAAGGTCTCATCACTTTTGCATCTGAACTATATTACCTCTTCCTTCCCTAACGCTGCCATGCAACCATAGAGTTTATGCTGTAAAATTGTGCACCATTGATCTGTTTCCAGCTGAAATGAGGATTTCCCTGTAACCTGGATTGCAACAGATTGTACCCATAGCCATCCGCTGCACAATCCCAAGAAAGACCTGATAAAAATAACATGTGTGCGCTCACAAGGAATCACCGTGAAATAACTAGAAACAGCCGCCCAGTCAGTGGATATGAGTATTTGAGAATGGGGGGGAAGCCATGTCTAGCCTGATTTTCCCCCTCTGCTTTGGCTTGCTTACCTTGTTCGTAGTGGTTTACATTTCAACATGTAGCCAACATTGGGTTTTCGTCTGGTACTTGTATATTCCAATGAACTAGAAACGAAAACAATTATGAACATGTAAATAAATGAGTGGCTTGTTCTGTTCATTTAAAGGACTAGAGTTTCAGACGTCCCAGCAAGCATGTTTATACAATATAAACAAAAATAAGCGGCGACCGAAATGCAGCACAACAATGATTTTATGGAGATCTGCGGAGTAACGTAAATTTTTTTCATGCATAGAAAAACTTGTGGTAGCCAGAACATGTCAATAAGCAGAAATGTGTTACGCTGCTAAAGAAATATATTTTCCCGTGTGTGGTCCTGGGAACCTCAGCTAGAGGTCATCAAGTAAATCCTCAAGTCCATAAAAGCTATAATTTCTGCCTGTATTTTACACCTGAACGGCTCCAGTATCATGCACCTGGCATCATTTGGGTGTCTGCTGCATTGTCAGGTTTTGCATTGCAGTTGAGATTACTCTGCTCTGCTGGCCTATTACAACCTGGGTGCTATGTAACTTAACTCACCTTTGCATTATTTTAATATGGATTCAGATGTCCAAAATTAAGCTGCGAGTGGTTAGGGATATTACTGCCTACAGGTACATTATCCACACATGACACTATAGGCCTGCATTGTTTGCATGTACCTTGAGGGAAAATGCAGAGTTTATTTTCAGAGCTGATTGTGGAATTTGTTTGTGGTATTACTATGGGTCTGGCAATCAACTGAGTCCTGTCCTCATTTGTCTAAATGTCCAATCTGTGAATTTATGCTTTACATCACTAACAAAACTCCAGTTGTCAAGTTTATGTTCAGTATATTATAACAGTTGATAAAAACAACAATAATCCACAAGTAATCCACACGATTCCAGTCCATTAAATTGCAGTGTGTGAAGCAAAAAACTGCATGTTTTAAATAAACAAATCCATAATTAAGGTGTTTTAACTAGAACCAATCACACCTGGCCACAATGATAAGTCGTGGATGGTATTTGTATACCATCACTTTGGTAACTTACATAATAAAGTTTTATTTTACCCTGCATTTTTTTATATTTTACATATATGTGACCCTGGACAAAACCTAAACCAAAACTTTTTTTTTTTCATCTGAAAGCTGAATAAATAAGTTTTCCATTGATGTATAGTTTGTTTGATATGAACATATTTGGTCGAGATACAACTATTTAAAAATCTGGAATCTGAGGGTGCAAAAAAATCTAAATATTGAGAAAATCACCTTCAAATTATGTCCTTAGCAATGCATATTACTAATCAAAATTTAAGTTGTGATATATTTACAGTAGGAAATTTACCAAATATCTTCATGAAACATGATCTTTACTTAATATCCTAATGATTTTTGCTATAAAAGAAAAATGTATAACTTTGACTCATACAATGTATTGTTGGATATTGCTAGAAATATACCCGTGCGTCATACAACTGGTTTTGTGGTGCAGGGTCACAAATGTAGGCTATATTTTATCATTTATGTATATGTTCTAAATTAAGACAGCATATAGCAATGCTTGTATATCATGTAAAATATCTCTGCAACATTTGGGAATGTTACTTTTTGAGTATTAAAAGTGAAATTTTAAAATGAACCTTTACTGAACATTTTTTATATGTTCTTTACACACCCACACACGCACACACACTCAAAACTTCCATTCAATGTTAGTTTATGGCTATAACAGTAAAACCTACAAATAACATTCCCGAAACGGTAGAAGTTGGTGTTCTAAAGAAATAATTAAAGGGGAACCATATACTAACATTAAAGGATAGTTCTGTATTTGTTGGGTGTGCTCTTCAAATGATTGAGACATGGAATGACACTTCTCAATGTCCCTGACAGACCCAAGAGCAAATATACAGAGGCAGAACATGGAATGACTGACTGATTGGCCCGGAAAACAGACCCCATTTCTTTCTTTTCTCTCAGAGGCTATAAATCATAGATATTTCCGACTGAGTTTCTGAGGGGTCACCGTTTTTGGCCTTTTGGCTGCTTTTATGGATCCGGCAGCACTGGGATTCATGGTTGTCCTGCTGTCACTCAAAGTTGCGTGTTACTAAGTACAGTCAAATGAAACAGTCCATATTATAGTACAATAAGCCTGGTCAACCTGACCTACAGGATGCAAATACTTCCATAGCACCTCACCCTCTTCCTGCCCAGCTAGTCGAGCCAGAGCACCCCCCCTATATATTCCTCCTTGCCTGAAACCACCAAACCGCCACAATAAACACACAAGTGTAAGAAGGTAAACACCTCCCAACCACTCCTCCGCTAAAAGATTAAGACTTCCTCTAAATTACGCCCAGTGCTGGAGTAGCTCACAAAGGAAAAAGGAGGACGTCGCCTTTTTCCCACATCTCTGCCTTTCAGTGAATCAATCAGTCACAGGTTGACCCCAACACACAGTATCCCACACAAGTTTCAGGATGATGGCTGTGGTCTAAATGTTCATCTCTTGAAAATGACAGAAACTTCTGGGTGAAGAAAAATGAGCTGTCTGTACTAAACAGTGCCAAACTTCATCTCCTTAGTGAGTCGGTCTGGCATGAATTCCGCTGAGGCCTTGCTGACAAGAGAGGCCAGAATAAGCATCAGTGTGCCCTGATGGGCCTGCTTTTTTTAGCGTGTGGGAAAAGGAAACCATTAAGTGATTATGAAAAATTAATTGAAAGGGCAAGAAAGAGAGGATGTGGATACTGGCAAGTCAGGAGGGTGTTTTTCCTTTCAACAATTAAAGCCACCCCATGTGCGTCTGTGAAGAAACAGCCAGGGGTCAAAAGACGCCCTGCTATAGACAGACTTCTCAGAATCCATCTATCTGTCTCGGTACTTTTTCTATA